TTGAGAAAAATCTATGTTACTTAGGCATAGAATATAAACCGATAAGGGTTCTAATGGGTCATCCCTTGATGAGGCGGGAGTATACCTAGATGAGTGAGCCGAGGGACTGTGTAACCCTTGTGTGTGATGGTGGCCTTCAGAGATGGGTCCAAAGCTTCATACACACACCATCACACGACATGCATAATGATATCTGTTTCGAGAAAGAAAAACCACCTTTCAGGGTGAAGTTTATGCATGTGTGAGAGATACCCTACCCTTATGTGTCAAATAAGTTGTAGTCACATCAAGATCTAGGTGACCTTGGCACGTCTCTAAGGGAGAACTTAAAATCTACAAACTGGGATTGCGACCCCTTGGCTCATTAGCAAGATTTTGGTAAACTATTAATGAGCCCCTACTTGGGCTGTGCGTTATGAGAAACACTCGGTCCACCTGATAAAACAAGTCTGGTTTGTAGTCCATATGGACACTTTTCACGTCAAATTAATTTAATTATGTTTTTTTTATTATAGAACTTATTTTAGAGTTATTATTTGAATTTTTATAAACCCCTGGATGTTTTATTTATAAAATTTAGATTTATAAAATTAAAGATATTGATTTTACGATGGTTTAAATATTTACATAATATTCTAATTTTTTTTATTAATTTTAATTATTTAAAATTTCATGGGGGCCCATTGTGCACATGGGCCCACCATGTTCTAGAAGGTGGGGCCCATGAGGCTCTCTCATGGGTGGCACGCCCCACCCTCTTTAGAAAGATTTTTATTTTGGAAATGTTTTATTGTGATATGAGGTCATATGGAAGCTTTGACTTGAATCAAAGATTGATATTGGCTCAAGGCAATTTTGAATGATCTTTTAGAAAGCTTGAGAAGACTAGTGCAAATTTATAGTATACGCAATATTTTGATTGGAATTAATTTTATTAATTTCTATTGATGAGAAAATGGTTTAGGAAAGGGGGATAAGGGTTCATGCACCTTTTATAATATTGATGGCCCATCTATGGAATGGATGACTTAGATCTCTCACCCCACAAGTTATCCTTGATCAACGGTTCACATTTAATCTCACTAAAGAGGCAAACTATGGGAAACCCTAAGAAACCCTTAACCTAATTTTGTTCTATATATAGAGGACCTCCCAATCCAATCTCTCTCTTCTCTTTCTTCTCTCTCTCTCTCTAAAGTCTCTCTACTCTCTCACTTGAGGGGCACGCCCCAACCCTAGACTTTCTACTCTCTCTCCTAACCCAACCAAGGGGACACACCCCACATCTCTCTCTCTCTAAGATCTTTTAAGGGGCATGCCCCACCTAGTAGGAACATCTCTCTCT